CACCCGACGTGAAATGCTTGCCCTGGTGTACTTCCTCCACCACTTCCGGCCCTATTTGCTTGGCAGGCACTTCCTTGTCCGGACAGACCACCACTCACTACAATGGTTACAGAGTTTCCGCGACCCCGACGGTCAAGTCGCACGTTGGCAAGAGCGGATTCAAGAGTATGATTTCACTTGCATCTATCGCCCGGGCGCCAGACATTCGAACGCCGACGCCTTATCCCGAAGGCCAGTCCAGGAACTAGAGTCTGTCAATGTACTACTCGCGTCTAACAGAATAAACTGGGAAGAAGAACAACTCAGGGACACAGATATTGGCGAGATTTACCGCCTCCAGCTGCAGGGCAACTCCAAACCTTCTGGGCGCCTGATGGCCTCGAGATCCTCGGCAGCACGGAGTCTGTGGTCACGATGGGGGCAACTACGGATTATATCCCGAGTGCTTCACCTTGTGGATAGTCGGGATGGCCAGCCTCGTGTCGTCGTACCCCACAGTTGCGTCCAAAGGACCATCTCAGCAGTCCACCGAGATTTGGGACACGCTGGACAGAAGAAAACGGAAGCGCACATCAGACGGCGTTATTGGTGGTTCCTACTACACCACGACGTTGCGGAGTTTTGCCGGCACTGCTCAGTGTGTGCGACAACGAAGGCCCTCGCTATAACCCCCCAAGCACCGCTCCAACCAATCTCTGTACAAGGACCGAACCACCGAGTGGGTGTTGATATCATTGGACCCCTACCAGAAACCAGAAAAGGTAACCGTTTCATTGTTGTCATGGTCGACTACTTAACTAAATGGTGTGAAGCTGTGCCTGTGAAGCAACAAGATGCCCGTACGATCGCCTCAGTGATAATCTCTGAGTGGGTATCACGCTACGGGGTACCAGCCATTCTTCACTCTGATCAGGGCCCAGCCTTTGAGAGCCACTTGCTGCGGGAAATATGTGCATTCCTGGGGATCCATAAGACGAGGACAACACCGTACCACCCGCAGGGGAACGGCCTGGTGGAGCGCACCAACAGGACCATAAAGAAAATACTCATCACCCTCGTGGATCGTTACGAGGGGGAGCGGTGGGACGAGCACATTCCGCTATGTATGCTGGCCTATCGAGCAGCTACACACGAGTCGACAGGTTACGCACCGGCATTTCTACAACTCGGCCATGACCTCCGACTACCTTCAGATGCAGACATGCCTGTGGTCCCTGCAGACCTGGTTGGCAGTAACGAATACGCCCGGTCACTCCAAGAACGTCTATCCGCGGCACTACAAATCGCCCGTGAAAACATCGGACATGCACAACAACACCAGAAAACGGTGTACGACCGCAAATCACGCGGACCCCGGTACGAAGTAGGCGACTTTGTGCTTCTACACCGGCCGAAACCACCACCGGGTGCGCCCGCAAAATTCCATCACATGTGGCAGGGACCTTATGTTATCGCTATTAAGAGGCCAAACAACACCTATGTCATTCGTGACCCTTCTAAGCCACATATGGATGTACAGTGTGTCCATTACAATCAGTTGAAGCCCTACCCTTCACCCCGTCTTGGCACCCAGCCGTCTACATCCTCCTATCCCCCACCTGTCAGCCATACTGTGGAGATCAGTACATCCGACACGAACACTCCTGAGCACTGAGGACAGTGCTCATACTCGGGAGGGGGCAGTGTAACGCAGTTGAAACTTGACTGTATTGCCTTGCACGTTTAACACATGGCCTTATGAATGCCTCCCTCTCTCTCTTCCCCCTATTGCAGGTACCACGGACGAGTCACCACGGGCCCTGGACAGGGAAGAGTATCCCACTTATACACCCCCCCCCTAACTGACCTTGACCCAACTTTGTACACCCCGGACTTCCGGTTCGGTTTGGTTTGAATACACGCGTGTAGTTACCGTGCTCCGGTGTTCTCTTCTGTCTCACCCGACCTGTGCGCATGTGTGCTGTGTGTACCGTGTGGACTCATTAATATCAGTCCGTATATTTGCACATTTCAGAACTGACGTGTGCTAACGCTACATCCTCTCGAACGTCGAATACCGCTGACTTCCTGACGTCCCACGCTACACCTGTGAAGTTTCATTTACAACATGCCTTATGCTAGCTAGTTTCACCATTCAAAGATGCCATACCACCCCATGCCACTTGTGTTTCACCATCCTGATGTCTACTGCGTTTAGACCTACTTTTGGCATACACCTGTGAAGTTTCATTTACAACATGCCTTAGTGATGCTAGTTTCACCATTCAAAGATGCCATACCACCCCATGCCACTTGTGTTTCACCATCCTGATGTCTACTGCGTTTAGACCATGTTACTTTTGGCAAAACCTTATCCGTGCTGAGCAATATCCATTTTCCTGACTGTCCAACCTTTACACATTGCTGGGCGATCGCACCTGACGTCAGTTTTGCATACATTCTAACTATACTATCGGGATTAAGCCTGCCAGATCAGAATACCAGATTTCGACTGCTCTTTGGTTAATCATCCATTATCTAGTGTAAATCTAATCACCAAAATGGTGACAACACTCCCCACCACGAGTTTCATGCCGAACAACTTCAAAAATCGATTATTTTCATCTCCATCGCGGATTAACCTATTATCCTGTCTATGTTGCGAAGGTGCGGACGCCATTCTATCATGGGAGATCACGTTTCTCGCGCCCGTATTCAGTGTTGTGTCACGTGGTGACGGCGACATGGAAAGGAATGTTTGGAATCAGTCAATTGGACAGCTTTCAAACTATTCCCCGAAAAGTACAAGAAAAACGAAGCGGTGTCACACCTTCAAAACATGAACATTCTCAAACGAAAATTCCGGTCCAAGAGAAGAGGCGAAGTCGCATCGGGAAGCTGCTGAATCGAAAACGAACCATGCGGACCGAAACCTGCTACCCACTAGAGAAGCCACTTGGAGAATCCGTGAAATAAGACGCTGCGACAACAAGCAGCAGTTGTCATCCGGAACATTTCCTTGGGGAAAACAGGAACTATACGTACGAAGTTCCGACGATTTCATTTTCCACACACCATAAAACGGCTAGAGCTATCTAAAATGTCTGCAGTCCTGACAAAATGAGACGCCGGATGCAGCCATTACCTAAGGTGACACCCCAGACACCAAATGTCACTGAGATAGTTCCGAAAATAGCCGAACCCCCCACTCGTTGTGGCCCGAGATTCCCCAAGGAATGAATGGACATTACGTCACGACTTTTCGTTTCATTCTTCCCTAGAGTCCTCCCCTATCTCCGGGGCGTCTACTTATCCGCTTCATTGAAAAATCGGTGGCCGTAGGAACCCAACTAACTACCGTCTTAGTAGCCCCACGACTACCCCATGCAGAACGGCGGAAACGCAAATAAATTCCTGCCTAGAAATCTGGTAACAAAAAAGCTCTCCCATCCATCCAGCATAGTCTCCTCTCATTCCTGTCTTACGAACGCAATCCTCTTCTCCTTTGACCTTAATCGGGCAGTTGAAGACGTTCATAACTAGTACACTTCCATGACCTTTCTCTCGCCTTCGGTAAAACACCTCATGGACTCCCAGCCAATCGATGACAATAGGAGTTCGAGGTTAACTGTCCGGAAGGCTCCCTGGTCTTAGCCCGAACCAACCAATACCCGCCGGTGATTCACTTTCGTCCCATTTTCCCACCGCCACCAGAGGATTGGTTCTGCGCTATCCGTACACTGTTACTTGGCGCTGATGGCTTGTTTTACCGCAGTTAGTCGATGCCAGCGTCTCTAGGCCAAAATCAACTTGCAATCGGTAATCTCCTGGAAAATCATCCATATGCCGATCCGGATTTTATCTTTTCACTTGCTTATAAAAAGCCACGTCGTTCGCATCATAACGATTGCTCCTCAGAGGTAGGGTGAATTACCTCCTCCATCAATAAACGACTAAATTGGTCGAACTCCTCCGTAGATCAGTCCACGTTCGTTCGTTTGTTCCCCCATCCCGCCAAAACACAAAGAAAGTATCTTTTCACAAAGGAAACTACTCACAGGGTTGCGGAAAACTTTTTGACAACCCACGACCGGTTTCGCTCTTCTTCGAGCTCATCAGGAAGGCGCAGTCCCCCAGTTTCCGTCAACCTTATGATCTACTTGAACCGAAATTGCACTGTTTTCGAGAAATACACTCATTTGCAAATCAATTCGGTTTTCACGAGAGACTCAACTGAATCTCTCGTCTACGATATTCTACAACTGAATGCGCTGCACACAGTCCGCCTCATGTTTCGGTTGGCTCGATATTCGAGATATCGCAGTACATTTTCTCTCGGAAAAACCAAATTGATTTGCAAATGAGTGTACTTCTCGAAAACAAAGAAAGTATGTTCGAAAGCGTACGAGATAAAGCCATAAACATGTTCTTGTGGTCCATATTTTTTCATTCGAGGGCGTTGTATCGAAATAAGCCAGCGCGGGTACGTGGATCGGCCTAGAATTAACTTGAAAACAGAACTATCTTCAAGTGTTATGTCGTGCCTCACCACTTATCCGATCGGCCAGCACTCGCATCACAACGCAGACAGACCCAGGTTCAAAGAGCACTTTCTGCAACCCTATAGGGCTCAAGACGCTGCGACGCTTCAACAAAGCTGCACAAGTTTCGAATACAATTGCGGGAGTGATCCATAATGCAACGATCAGCCCAACATAACGTCTTAAGGTGTCAACACCACTACAGTGCGGGAAATGCATTGAGTCAATCGATCGCTTTTGAAAAGTATTCAATTCCCCACCCGGGCGTGCGTGGGACCCCGGCAAGAAACGGTAATCCATTGCTTCGCTGATCACAACGAAATTCCCTGAAAGACAGGATAGATTCGTCTGTACGCAAGCCAACCAGGATAAGAGCTCATTCAGCTTTGCTCTACCAAGAGTCAACATGGGAGTTCTCCTTCAGCCAAAAAATTTCAGTATCCCGTGAACAAGTTATAAGGGTCTCGCTTTCATCTCAATGGGGTCGGTATTTACTGGTTCGAATGGAAATCAAGGGACACGATCAAGCCTCGAGGGTAAACATGATTGGAAAGAGTTGAAAGAAACAAGAGAAGTATTCGGGGTTGATGAAGACTGATTGATCATAAACACTGCAATTGTGTTGTGTGAGGATATGGAAAAGCTGAATGGTGGTGGGGGGGAGGGACTGGAGATAAAAACAACAAGGTCGTCAGGAACACAAGTTGGGAGAGAAGTAAATGCGGAGAAAAAGTGACCATCAAATCACAGCCACGGGAGTAGATGAATGGTCTTCGGCCTACTTTGAAGCCACTACTACGGAAGTGAGGCCCCGGGGAGGTTTCAGATGCATTTCTCGTTGTCTCTCCAAAAACGACATTTCTTCAGCTCCTGTGGTGGCGTCATCTGCTGCTGTTTTGGGGTGAGTTCCCGGCGGTCCTGGCTGTGTCTGTTGATCACGGATTCTTTGTTCAACCAACTCGCGTGTCTGACGAACTCCACGATTGTACCAGGCCGCAAGCAGGATTCGCTCCTCTGCATCGCGTCGAAGACGAGTCTGCTCGAGATGACGCTGACGTGAACAAAGAGGACACAAGTATGAGGAACGTGTTATCGAAGAACAAGCTCGCCGTTTCTAATTTTATATGTTTGTCGGAAGACGTATCGCAGCAGATTTTGTAGCTATTCCATATTGCGACCAATGAAGATGAAAGAAAAGTCAACCACAAGGTCTGTAATCTAGAAAACATTTGAGGTCATAAGAAGCCGCAATAACATATATGACTGTCTACACAGTACTTCGAGTTCAACTTTTGCACCACATAACAAAACGGGCTATCACAGATGGGATTCAGTCGATCCACAGACCGTCTCCATCTTAGAGGAGCTTTTGTGGGGTAAATTTCGGGGCGACGGAATTCCTTCTGTCCAGTCCATTGGTTCGTGGAATGCTTGGCACACACTCCGAGAAAGAAAGCTACCAACCAGTCCACGAACAAGAGGAATCAAGATAAAACAATCTCGAAGTTTCGCATGACAAATTGATACTTATCGCGCTGCCGACAATAGCTGTGGCATATCGTGCAGGCCTAGAATACACCTTCGTGGTAAACACTCTTCTCCGTTTAAAGAGTTCATCCCTTGTTTTCTCGTTTCCCCCTCGATCTGATTCAGGTTGATCAATACTGTATACACTTGGCCATGTCGGAAGTTGAACTCCGGACTTTTAACAAGCGAGTCGTCTGCGTTGGCTATGCTCCACCAGAGCATGCCGGATACACCAGGGTTATTACGCCTGAACAGGCAAACATGTGGTTCTCACTAGAAGCACAAGTAGTTTCTCATGACTGCTTAAACTATAGCACTCCGAAAAGCGAAAATATCTCGTCACAAACTCAACAAAGCTAGTCAAATCACACAAAAAACAGGACTAGAGTCTGACTACACACTACAAAAAGCTTGTGCTCTCTCATGAAGCACAAACAGTTAGGTAGACTTCAAAGTTGAGGTCAACGTTGTAGTGTACACAACATCTACTGGATCCATTGGAGACAATGATCAAGAGAATGGCACTTAAAAGAGAGAAGAGTTCGCTGGGTATCATATGTGAGAGCGGAATTGGTGCTCACTTCGAGGTTCTCAATAATGCGCTCCTTCTCGACAAGCAGCGCTCGCAATCGGGCCACATCATTAGATTCCTCATTAGGCACCCCAATATTCTCGTCCTGTTTCCGTATCTGACGCTGAAGCGAACGAATCAAACCGCGGGCTTTCCACAGATAGCCCCGGTACTGTTGTTCCATACTTTCATACGCACGGTCTTTCTCATTCAGCTGGTCTCGAAGCGAGGCTACCAAATGCCCATCAAAGTCTTCAGATTTCGTAGCTGACATGTGGACTGGCGAGGACGTGCCGTCGCTGGTTTCGTGTTCGTGATTATCCATCACGTTGCTTGAATTGTCAGGGAAATCGGAAGTTTGCATCACTCGACTACTACCATCGTTTTCATTGAGCGAGTGATGATCTTCATCAGCAACGGAAGTACTGGCAGCAATTTCCAAACTAGACAGTGAAGTACGCAGCCTCGTGAGTTCTTCCCGCAGAGTGAGCATTTGAGACTGCATGGCAGGGGTGTACATCATTCCGCTGGCATCTGGCTCCACGGTAGTGAGCTCCTCATTTAATCCACCTTAAGCACAAAAGTGAAAAAAATGAGAAAACACGAATACATGAAATACACGAAACGAGCAACACAATAAACTCCAGTCAAGCCATGGAAAGCGTACGAATGCGGGACAGAAAGAGAAATACTCTGAAAGAAAACAGCCCGATTCAGTTATTATCAATGTTGTGGAATGTGGTTGGTTGGGGTGGCTGTTTGGTTGGTCTGTTCGCCGAGCTTGGCAGTTGGATTGCAAACGTTTCATCACCACGTTTCACCGTCAGTGCAGGGTTGACGATGTCACCTCGATTGGTGACGAAATGTTTGCAATCCAACTGCCAAGCTCGGCGAACAGACCAACAACCAACCAGTCTGATTCACTGTCCACATTATCACAGATTCAGCATGACATCGAATGAGGATGTACGCACACATGCCTTTTTTCATGTTTAGAAGTGCTGTTGTGTCCAATATAAAGTATTGTTCGCCACCGTAGAATACCCTGATTTCATCCTGAGAGGTTGGACACTCAAACGGGAAGGCATCAACCAGGCATCTTTATCACGAGAAATGTGTAAGAAGGAACTCTAGCAAATGGGAAGAACCTTCGGAAAGGACTATTTTTTTAACCCCCTTCCCCAAATTACTTCTTTGCTTTGCATGAGAGGACGCTGAAACACAAAGAATCTGTACGATTGATCCAGATTTATTGATCACGTCGAACGTCACGCAAAAGCGAGACACTAACCTGTCAAATCTGTGACGAGTTGAGTTGTCATAAATAAACCTTAGGTATGCACGCTATATGGCCCTTTGAGAGGGGAGGGGGCGAGAAGGCTCAGTGGTAAGAGCGTGGATTTACTGACCGGAAGGTCCGTGGTTCGAAACCGACCTCTGCTTCTCGACTCGCCCTGTGTCTAGGCTTGGGCGACCTGGCAGTATCCCAGCAATCGTGCTTCCTTCGGGTGGCATGGTAGCTAGACACCGAAAGGGTGTTACAGCTGGACGATTAATTTTTACTTTTATGGAACATTCGATAGATGCATCGCGCTAAACATAATAAAGTCGAAGAGTGAGGTGAAAAGAATCTCTACTGGAACCCAAATTGTACGCGACTCGTGAAAAACACTCAGTCGTCCTGTAGATGAAGCTAATCTGTGCTGAAAAAACAAGGAGCACCGTACAATTGTTTCATTTTTGTGGGAATCATAAGCAGTCATGTGTATCTCATAAAAATGCATGGATTCTCGAATGAGTGGCCTCTCCGACAGTAGTTTGATCACTTAAGCGTTCGGTCAGAAGCCGCTAGATAACAGTGTGCCCCGGACAGTTGTGTTCAGACTACTAACCGTGGAGTTCGAAACTCCCGCGGTTCCGCGCACTGCTGATGATTTCTAATGAGCATGAAACAGCTGTACAGCGCTTCTCAGCTTTCCAGTATGGATTGACTTCACAGGACGAAAGCTCAGGTGGAAATTCCGAAACCTCGCTATCAGTAGTTAGCTTTTAACAGAAGACAAAACCAAACACCAACTGAATGTTTCGTTTATGGTAATCTAAAAGTGAGTGAGTCGAACAAAAACCGTCTCATCTTTTAGTTGGGACGATAAGCGAGATAATGCAGTATATTCTCTTGGAGAAACATGACTCGTTTCACTCTTCCTGGGACAAAACAGGTAGGCGCAGTCCACGAGTTTTCGAACATCGTCCGGGATGAAGCATGAGGTACGCTGTGCGCAGCAGGCTCAGTTGAAGAATATTATACAGGGGAGATTCAGTTGAGTCACCCGTTAAAACCAAATAGATGTGCAGATGAGTGCAGTATGTGTAAGATGAGACGAAGTGAGTAGTGTAAGGCGGAAATCCCTTCACCACGAAGTCGTTTATTAGCAAACGCTAACTAAGCAGTTCCAAACTATTGGACAGGAAAGTAAACTTCTCATATGCATAGAGTTTTTAAAAACCGAACATTCTCACGCGTCTTTTTGAGATTTAATGGATATTGATTGATTATCACGCAATTGTAAACAAACAATGCAAAGCGGTCCACAAGTTCCGTGTTGTATCTTGCGGTGGACGTCTATGGGTTACGCCTGCACTGAGCCTGCCAGACTACGAGATAGGGAGAAGACAGAGAACTGAGGACACGGCTGTATTGCCAGAACAAAACATACAGAGCGTCTGCGTAAATATATAGGATGTCTAATTGGCCAAATATGGTCGTTCACTTGTTCGTTCCGTACAGCCAATGGTGGCGTTCCGGTCGTGAACAGTCTCACACCCACTACGCTGGTCGTGTGTTGCTAAGCCGTTTGGTGAAGCATCAGTACCAACACTGATCTTGCTGTCTTTGATGATGATGATGATGATGATGAAGCCGTTTGGTGAGAACCTCCAACTCACCTACTTTCCGGACGTGTCGTACCGATGGTGACCTTGGGGATATGTCACTCTTTGCACATGTGCTTTTTCTTCTGTCTGGGTGCGCCCTGACATTCCCTAATAAACTTCACGTTCTATTAGACGCAGAGCTGAGGTTCGAGAAGACCACAGACTACTCGCATGCCTCGTCAGTAGTACCCACCGTCACGCACCTTTCCCCTTCATCATGGTCATAATTGTTTTCGTTGTTACAGATTCATTACGTTAGGCTTACGTGTGGTGATCATGCATAGGTGAGGGTACTGAATGCATAAAATACTCACAGTCAGCCTACAAAGCAGTGGATATCCTCCAACCTCTATCGATCGTAGGAGCAAACGCCAAATCCGGATGCAGCAACGAACCCAGCAGTTGCATCCAAAGGTGTTGTACGAAGTCCTTCACGTCGTGTCCAGCCTTGACGTCCCAGAGGGGCGAAAGACTACAACCACAACTAAGCCATTCAGGGGACAACATCAAACGCGGGATCCAAGAAACTGCTCGCAATCCCGGCTGAGACTGCACCCTCAAACCGCGCTCGAAGAAACCCCAGGAAGCTAAGTATGGACGAGTGAATTGAATCTCGCGTAATAGCTGAAGATCACGGACCAATTTTTGCCGTAGACACGATGTGACTAATCGATTCATATGGCCCAGTTTTTTGCCAGCTGGTCAGCCGATCTCTGTAATGGCATACAAACAGCTCTAGATCGTGACCTGATGATCCGTCATCAATTCCAAATTGTGCCATCTGCTAATTACTGAACACACACAAACAACTCACATGATGTGACTGTTGCTGACCCTAACTTGCGTGACGCTACACTAACTAGCGCTGTCACCTTGCAATGGTAATGTTTAAATCCCTACCGTCGATGTTGAGTAGAACGTATCTTTTGATAAAGTAACCCGCCAAGGGTTTCGTTTTGGGTGAGATTCGATCCCTTGAGGTTCAGATCGACACCAAACACTAACCCAGTTCACTTGTGCGTAGAACTCGATCAGCGTGGCACAAGTGTCGACATTCGTTAACAGTGTGAGAGATGCTCCAAGTGGTCGGAGCGCGAATTTAATGACCGGAAGGTTCGTGGTTCGAACTCGACCTCCAACCTCCCGACTTCCCTGTCCAGGTTTGGGTGACCTGGCAGCATCTCAGTCCTCGTGCTTCCTTGGCATGACAGCTGGGCACCGAAAGGGTGCTACAGCTGAACGATTTTTTCGAACAGTGTGACCGCCAGGTAATCTATCTTTAGGTTACAAAGGGCCTGATAATCCTGTTGTCTGAGGGAGTATCTGTGATTAGTGAAGTCTTTTCGAACCTCTGGAAGTGAAGATGTGTAGAAAAACCTTTCTCAAACAACAAACGATTCCCACAAAAATGGAACGATGCGAGAGATTTTCCAGTCATCAAGATATCCACGAAATATCTGAACATCAAAACCAACTCACTGGCAGGCGGAGCACATCGTTGCAGCTGTTCACAGCACGATCTCAATCGATTCAGTTCGGTCACCAAACGCTAAAGAAGAAAAGAAAGAGGAACGAAATGATCAAAACACTAGTTGAATGTAATGGCACGAAGCAGGGGATTTCCAAACAGACGATCCAACGAGAGCAACGCTAAAGTGAACTTGATGTGTAATGCAGCTGCATCAGTGCAAATAGTAGACGGGGAGTACCAAGTGGGAATTTACTCAACCGTTTACCTGACGTTCTGGTTGGCTGAAACAGAGCGCACCAAAC